CTTTTGCAACCTTCTGACAAGCAAAGTCAATGGGGAAAACAGATTCACTTAACAACCATACTACTAACTTAACAACTTCAGAGATTCACTTATCAACTGAGGCAAGAAAGGTCATAAAATGGGCCAAAACTCACTGAACAACCGTCCCACTTAGCAATGGAAATTTTGAGCTCAATTGTGGTTGTAAGTCAAGGACTACTTGTACACGTTTCAAAAGACTAGGATATGAGGTGAACCCACCTTAAAATGTGACTCATTCCTTCATCAAATAGAAGAGCTCAGTTGCGTCGGGACAGTAGCTCATCAAACCCTGCATTTTATGTCACATTATGGTCAACCAACTGCACCAACAAAAAAGAAGAGTCGTCCTCAACTGTTGTTTCTCAACAGCTGTTAATCAACACACACCATTTTTGGAAGAGAGAGACAACAAGGCTATAACTATCAATGGCCATGGTTCCTTTCAAACCTTCTAACTTGATGGCCCTCAGCAAGTCAAATTCAGTGTTAATCAGAATAATGAAAAACAAGGGCATCGTATATACAGGAACAGCCATTTTGCTCAACCCCAGAATGAACTATCCCATTCTCAAGGTAGCTTCACACTAGTAAAATGTCATCTTCCTTGAACTGGGCACAGTGCATTACCTTCTTCTAAAGAGCACAGCTTATGAATTCAAATACCAGCACTGAAGGGTCAGAGGGGGAGGGGGACAACTACAATCTATTGTAACTTACTACCAAGGAGGAATGGCTGCACAATCATGAAAAACTGTTCCAATCCAGGAACAGAGAATCAGAGGGAGCAGCATTTCAGCCTATCCCGGAGTACTTCATCTATTTTCAAAAATCACCAATTTGGTTCTCTTCATCTAAGGTGTTTTTTTTTTTAAAAAAAACAAACAAACATAAATAGGAGTAAAAAATGAACAGAATTGCTATTTCTCTAATACAGGTCCTCAACTTACAACAGTTCGTTTTGTGACCATTCAAAATTACAACGGCACTGAAAAATGTGACTTATGACCATTTTTCGCACTTATGACCTTTGCCGCCTCCCCACGTTCAGGGGATCAACATTCAGACACTTCGCAAGTGTCTCATACTTGTGATAGTTACACTGTCCCAAGATCCTGTGAACCCCTTTTGCGACCTTCTGATAAGCAAAGTCAATGGGGAAGCCAGATTCACTTCACAGCCAGGTTATTAATTTTATCAACTGCAGTGATTCGCTTAACAACTGTGGCAAGAAAGGTCGTAAAATGGGGCAAAACCCGACCCATTTCTCTCACTGAGCAACATAAATTTTGGGCCCAATGGCGGTCGTTAAGTCGAGGACTACCTGTAGAAGGAACAGCGGACAAGGCCCAAAGAAGCTCTCTCTCACTGTGAGGAACTAAGATCATCAGGCTGAAAGCAAAACCAGATTAATCTTATGATATTAAACAGGCTGAACCGCAGCCATTTATTCTCACATGAAGCTTGCCAGCCTGCACCAATCAGCACTGCCAGCCAAGCTGCTCCATCAACCCCTAGAACAGGGGTAGGCAACCTTGGCTCTTTTATGACTCGTGGACTTCAACTCCCAGAATTCCTGAGCCAGCATAGCTGGCTCAGGAATTCTGGGAGTTGAAGTCCACGAGTCATAAAAGAGCCAAGGTTGCCTACCCCAGCCCTAGAAGCAAGCAAGGTCGCTAAGAAAGTAAGTTGGGGACTCGACAGGCCTCTTCAGCTCAGAAGCAAGATGGGCCACCCCACAACTACCTCCCTCGGATCGGGGACCCCAAAAGGAAGAGCAACCCAGTACAAGGTAGTCCTCAACGTACAACCACCACTGAGCCCCAAATTTATGTTGTTAAACGAGGCACTTGTTAAGCGCATTTTGCCCTATTTTACATCACTTCTTGCCCCACAGTTGTGAAGTGGATCTGTCTTCCCCACCGAGTTTGCTTCTTAAAAGGTCACAAAAGGGGGATCACATGCGCAACTGTCATAAAGATGAGTCAGTTGACAAGCGTCTGGATGTTGATCACGTGACCAGGAGGATGCTGCAACGGTCGGTCCCGAGTGTGAAAAAAGCCGTCGTAAGTCACTTAGTTCAGTGCTCTCGGCGCTTTGAACGGTCACTCAACGAACCGTTGTAAGTCGAGGACTAACTGTACTTTCCGAGAGCCCTTCCCAGAAACCGACTTAGGGAAGGACTCCCTAAAAACCTCCGCAGAGGCCGAGCCGCCCAGCCTGCTCTTTTCCCCCCCCAGGCAGGAAGATCCCCAAATGAGCCTAGAGGGGAAGAGGCAGATTCGTGATCTCCGGCTTGGATCACCGCGGGGTCTCCCGTCCCCCATGCCTCGACGTTTCCCCAACGAGGGCGACGACAACTCCCATTTCCCCGTCACCGGGGCGGGGGGTTATTCTTCCCCTCTAGGAAACCCTCAGCCCGGCCTGTTCCGCCTCCCCAACCCCGGGAGATGGGTCGGGCGGCATCCCCATCTTCCTCAGCCAGCGCGGCCTTCCCTCCTCCGCTCCCCTCTCCCTCAGCCAGGACGGCGGGACCATAGAGCTCCCTCGGCCAGACTGCCGGGCTCGAGCTGTGGAGCCCGGAGGGTTCGCGAGGGCCGTCCGCAGCTTCCAATCCCCGCCGGCGGTGGGTTACCTGTCGCCCGGCGCGTCCCCCGTCCTGCGGTGCGGCCGTGCGCACGCGCACACGCCTCTCCGGCCGCAAGCCCCCCGGCGAGACCCGTTGACACTCCCCGAGGCGGAAGTGCGACCCGCCGCCACCCCCTCCTCTCTCAACGTCCCCCGCTTGACAGACACGCTGGGCCGTCCAATCGTCAGCGACGGAGCGCCGTGACGTTCGAAGGACCCCCCCCCGCTCCGCTCCCCCGGGCGTGCCGTCTCGCTCTCCTCCCGCAAGCGGGCCAATGGACCGCGAGGGAAGGGAAAGGGCGGGGACTATGCTAATCGGAAGCCTGGGGCGCCGGAGTTCCTCCCGGGCTTTCGCGCATTCTCGCTGGACTCGACCTCAGGCAGGGCTGCTCGACCAATGGCGTTCTCCGAAAGGGGCGAGGCCATGCAAATGAGATGGGGAAAGTAATCCCGTCGAGCAGCTCTTGGCGCGTCACAGCCTTCGGGCGTCCGACGGCAGAAACGGGTAGCCGGAATGCGGTTGTGCAACTTGTGGTCCCCGAAGGCCTTTGGTGAAGAAAGCAGGCGCTGTGCTCCCTTGCGGGCGATCACTTGATCTCCATGACCAGATAGGCATCTTGTGGTTTACAGAGGCGCTTCCTCCACCAGGGATGCGCCAGGTGTGTTAGTTAGGACCACAACTCCCAGAATCCCTTGCTGATATGTGTCAGTCATCCAGGTCAGGGCTGTCCCAAAGGTGCTTTTTCAGGAGGCGACTGGACTTTCTTGGTTTTTCTTTGAAGACGTTTCGCTTGTCATTCAAGAAGCTTCTTCCGTTCTGACTGGATTTGGGAGGTGCGGATGGAAGGATTTATATTCCTTTGCAGTCATCTGCTCATTAGCACTCTCTCTGAGAGCCCTTGAGGGTGCTAATGACCCGATGTCTGCAAAGGAATATAATCCCTTTCTCACCTACCTACCTACCCCCCTCATCCGGTCAGAACTGAAGAAGCTTCTGGGATGAGAAGCAAAATGTCTTCAAAGAAAGGGGTATTTTAAATTGGTTTTAACAAAAAATTTTAGTAGAAGCGGCCTAGTTAAATATTTATTTTTAATCACTTTTAAATTTTGTATTGTATTGTATTATTGTTTTTAAACTGGCTGTAAGCCGCCCTGAGTCCTCCGGGAGAAGGGCGGGGTATAAATTTAATAAAACTAAACTAAACTAAACTAAACTAAAAGCAAGGAAGTCCAGTGGCCTCCTGAAAAAGCACCTTTGGGACCTTGCTAGCATGGCTGTTGATTGTGAGAACTGTATTTTTAACACATTTGAAAGGTATCACATGGGGGGGGACTGAAATGGACTCCTTTGAATTCGCAGAAAGAAATATAATTCTCCAACTGTAGTTCATTGCCCTAGTGCAGTGCTGGCGAACCTTTTGGAGACCGAGTGCCTGAACTGCAACCCCAAATCCACTTATGTATCACCAAGTGCCAGGTGGGCGTGGCCTACTGGGTGGGCGTGGCTGTGGTAGTCATGACAGACTGGGTGGGTGTGGCCAAGGTAGGCGTGGTCACCTCGATGTTGCTCGTGGGGAGGGATGCCTGTGGGGGCCGGGCAGGATTGGGGGAGATCCAGGGGGTCTCTGACAGGTGGGGCAGTGGGCAGGAGGTTCGTCCTGCGGGGTGAGGCGAGGCAAGCAAGGCAAGGCGGGGGTGCCATTGTTGAAAGGCAAGGCGAGGCAGAGGCCGGGGCAGCTGCTGCCTGACACCATCGCCCCCCACACACAGAGGCCAGCCAGCTCATGGGGGCTGACAGTGTCTGTCAGCAGTCACAGCCTGCCAGCCCCTCAACTGACACACTCTGGGGCTCCACAGCCCACCACCAGCAGTTCAGAGAAGCCGCCTCTGAGCTGGACGGCCAGTCGACAGCAGAGGAGGCGATGCAGTGGGTCGTGCCCGGGAAAAGGAGAGCATGTGAGGCCAGGAGGGATGGGATGGGGGGGGAGGGAAACCAGCCATGCTGGGATGCATCCGGCTACGTGAGACCTCGGTGAGTTAGTGGGCAGCGGATTGAAGAGGGACGGTTGCCATCTCCGGGGCATGGCGCGCGTGTCCACAGAGAGGGCTCTGAGTGCCACCTCTGGCACACGTGCCATAGGTTCGCCACCACTGCCCTAGTGAGTTTACCCACCATTCTTTAGATTGAGCTACACAGCACTGTTTTGCAAATGTAACATTTGATTGCAAGAAAATTCTTATATATCCATAAAAGAGAATATTTGTAGGTCGGCGTTGAATTGTGGGGTCCTTAGTGCTCTCTGAGCCTGGTTGTTTTCTTGCAGACATTTCATTATCCAGCTGAGTGCATACATAGTCCTATATTTATGACCACAATTGAGCCCAAAATTTATGTAGCTAAGTGAGACATTTGTTAAGTGAGGGTTTTTTTTCCTTTTTTCGACTTCTCTTGCTACAGTTGTTAAGTGAATCACTGCGTTAAGTTAGTAACCCAGTTGTTAAGCGAATCTGGCTTTCCCACTGAGTTTGCTTGTCAGAAGGTCGCAAAAGGGGATCACATGACCTCAAGGCACTGCAACCGTCATAAATCTGAACTAGTTGCCAAGCATCCAAATTTGGATCACGTGACTATGGGGATGCTGCAACAGTCGTTAAGTGTGAAAACAGTCATAAGTCACTTTTTTCAGTGTAACTTTGAATGGTCACTAAATGAATGATAGTAAGTCGAGGGCTACCTGTAATATGATCAATGCTTGTAGTGTTTCTCAACCTTGACAATTTTAAGGCATGTGGACTTCAACTCCCAGAATTCCACAGCCAGCGTTGCTGGCTATGGAATTCTGGGAGTTGAAGTCCACATGCCTTAAAATTGTCATGGTTGAGAAACACTGCTAGGAGTAGGGTTTGCCCTCATTTTATGTACTGTATATATTGTTGCAGTCCTCAGCCATCAAATGGGACTTTGCATCATGTGTAGGCCCAGCCATTCCACCTTACGTTTTAAATGATGATTGAAGATGTCCTTGGCTTACTGCAGTGTTTCAATGCAGCCACTGAGAAGCCTAGATGGGATTCCCTTCAGAGCAATTCCAGAGAATTGGTGCCTTTACTTACACTCACCTATTAACTCTGCCCAATGATAGGAGAAAAACAGCAGGTTTGATTGTTTGCTTGCAGACATTTCATTACCCAGCTAGGTAACATCAGCAGTGCATTTATCATCATTAGCACTGATAATATTGTGTAGTTGGGTAATGAAATGTCTGCAAGCAAACAGCCAAGTTCAGGGGTAGGCAACCTTGGCTCTTTTATGACTCATGGCTATGCTGGCTCAGGAATTCTGGGAGTTGAAGTCCACGAGTCATAAAAGAGCCAAACTTACCTACCCCTGGCCAAGTTCAAAGAACACTGAAGACTCCATAGTTCAACCCTACAGATACTCACTTCTATTGGTAATCTTTAAAGAAAATCTGTTTAGACTTTTAAAGGATAGCTATCATAATTTGGAAGTAAAACATGCTATGGCTGCAGACAGCAGAGAAATACAGAAACTACAGTGATTTAGTGATGGCCAAGACTTTTACAGCCCCATTTAAAGGTTGTTACCAGCATTTTTGTCTCACAACCAGAACTGTGAACAAATAACAAACTGGGACTCTTTATGATGTATCCAGCTCAACTCAAAACACAGTCTGCAAGTAGCATTTTAGAATAATTAGAATGTCTATCTAGACACATTTCAAGGACTATTTCAATGGGAATCCACTATGCTGAATTCAGGTGCCATTCTATGTTTGCATGAAGAAATTATCTGGGTTCTCTATGGAGCAGTGAAAATTTATCAGTCGTTCTTCACAGGATGAACAAACCACATCTCTGACAGCTATTATTCTATGTTCTAAGCATCTGCCATTTTCCCTTGCTTTGGAAGTTATTCCCTTAAGTTGTTAGAAGATAACAGTATGCTTTTTTAAAAAAATCAGTTGCATTCCTGAGCACAACGGAGATATTTTGACATTTCTCGCTTATGCACATAAAATCCCTGCATGCTTTTTGTGAATGGTAAGGACATGACAAACTTGATTCATCTCAGTCCCAACTTTGGACATTTGCTGTGTTTCATCTCTGAGAAGACCAAATTATGTTGTTTGCCATCTTTGGGGTAGCCGAGAATAAATTTTAGGCTCTTATAACCCAGAGCTATCCCCCATGTTTCTAGCATTGTTTGTATTTGGCTTCTAATTTGCCTAAAAAGATTGCTCTTCTTTTTTTCCTACATCCTAATTGTTGCCTCTCCCTGTTTTATATGGGAGGCATTAGACGTTCTTTGTATCTCATTTACTTTTTACTTGCCAGACTTTTTGATATGTTGCCAGTAAGAACGCTTTAACTTCGTCTTGAGAATATTAATGGTTCTAGAAATTGGCCCTGGATTTTTGGGAAGACATTAAAAAAAACCCAACCAGAGCAACTGAATTAAAGATGGTTGTAACATCAATCACCCACCCAGATTTTTCTCTATATCTCTGAAGACAGAAATCCAAGGAGGTAGCTAATCCAACACATAACCCAGCAAACTACTTTGAATGAATGTATCCTAAACAGGTATATAACAGACTTTATCCTGTTAGGATTTCCTGATGACAAATAACCAGTGGTGGGATTCAGCCAGTTCGCACCACTTCAGCAGAACCGGTAGCTAATTTTTTGTTGCCCAGGCCCAGAATGGACTTCCGGAAGCGGCATCCACACAGAGAACCGGTTGTTCACATATTTGAATCCCATCACTGCAAATAACCAATTATGTCATGAGGCAATCAGAGATAATACTCTGTTGAGTTCTACAGCATTTGTGACTGTACGTGTTGTAAACTTCCAAACAAAAGATAATGATTAGAAGTATAAAGAACAAAGGGTAATGTATGAGACAACATATCAGCTTGGGGTGTTTTATACAAGGACAAAAAGATATGAAGAACTGTAGTGAATGAAATAAGTATGTTTAGGAATGATTGTTTGGACAGAAGGAAGAACGATGGAATTTCAAAGCAAATATACAAAG